TGTTATTGAAAGAGAATTAAGATATATGATAATTTTTCCAAGCAAAGTGGCAAAAACATGCATATATAGAGTTACGTAGGTGCAAAACAAAACTATATATTAATAGTCAATTTCGACTATTTAATAAAGGATTATAGGTCGAACACGACACACGATTCTTGATTTCCAATGTACATGATTTAAAACCGTGTTTTTTCTTCTACAGATTGCATTTTGAAGAACACATGCTTGGCCATGATCGTTGAATGTTCAGCGTACAATATTACATAATATTCAGGATGATTTCAACGAAAAGCAAACGAAAAAGATTTATTTTTTTTAAATCCGAGCATTCCTTAAATTCAACATTTAAAACCGTTTTGTTTTACGCAAAACATATAAAATTGAGAATGACTGATGTACTTTTTATTCTCTCTAACAATTAGGATTGGTAGTCCCGACAGCTTTCTCTCCATTAGTAAGGGAGGTCCTGGGTAAGGGAGGTCCTATTCTTAACAGTAAGCGAACACTGAAAAGTCACAGGACAAAAAGTCACAGGACAGGAAGTGACAATTGTTTAAGTATGTAAGAGAAATATCTTGAAAAATTACTTTGTATTACATATATTCTTTTTACAGTTTATGAAATTGTTCATTAGCCTTGGTAAATGAAGATTTATTAAATTTTAATCATGCAAATGATATAATATTTCTTAGCACCATGAAGCTGTTTAGGTACCAATCCACTTTGATAGTTTGTTTACTAAACAATTATTTGTTCATTTAATACATTTGTTTACAGAGTTGGTTTATATATACAATAGTTCAAGATACATACAAAATATATTTTTTTAAATAAGTAGTTTCTCTTTTTCAAAGAAAATAGTCTCAGAAACTGAATTGTGACCTTTCGTCTGTGACCTTTTGTCCACAAGCACGCATTATTTATGAGTAAAGTTGGAACAAAGGTCAATTTGGCTCTGATTCACAACAATTGTTCTCTTGTTAACATGACCTTTTTTGTCGACACGCGCTCGCCGTATCAGGCTAGAACAAACCAATGCATATCAATGTCACATGTGTCTTTTCCTCGACTGAATGTTATAACAATATTAATATTGAATACAATTGTAACGTAATGAATTGCATTTGATCCTAGTCCTAAGTTTAATTTTTGGTTGAATCAGTTGAACATCTAAGTGATCATCGATGTGTAATATTTGACACTGGACATTATTTTAGGAGCGATGCAATACAAATAATGTATTTCTATCAATCATTTACTTCAGTTAAAGACTTTTGAATGTAACAATATGGTACAAATCGATTTGATTTACTGAATTGCATATTTCTTTTTATCGAAATGAAAATATTATAAACTGCTCCCGGTTAATATAAATAAGAAGATGTGGTATGTGTGCCAAATAATCATCTCCATCCAAGTTACAAAGTATAAAACAATTATAGATTAAAAATACGGCCTCAACACGGAGCTTTGGCTCACACCGAACAGCAAGCTATAAGGGTCCCCAAAATGACTAGTGTAAAACAATTCAAAATGGAAAAACAAAGGTATAATCTATAAGTACAGTCATTTCGCTACGTTATTCTATAGCTTTTTGGTCAATTTCGAAAAAGCAAGTAAGCATCTCACTGTTTTTTAAATGAGAAGTAACGCTGGTGTTATAAAAAAAATCTGATACGAAACAGAAATATAAACCGTACACAAGATTTTATCAATCGTTGTTTGATATTTTTCTATATGATTTATTCTTGTATTAGTTCTTGCTAAAAAAAACTTGATGATAAAAAAAAAATCAAGAGAGGTATCGAAATCGGTCTTTATAGGTACCTAATGGTAAATATAAACTGTCAACTAAATTCTTAAAATATTCTTTATTCTTGTTGCATTTTTTTTTGAAAAAATAATGTTTTATTTGTCAATGTAATAATTTTACCCGGTAAATCCTTATATAAGATAAAACATGGAACTTTATTCATTTTACGTCCATAGATAAAACATCATAAGCGTTGCATGGGTAATTATTTAGATAGTTTATGACAACCCGTTTCGGTTGACTGCTTAGATAATCCGTTTATTGAAATGTAAATAACTTTCACCAAGCAACTGTCATCTATATAATATTTAAAAATTTAAAGTAAATTAGATACTTAGAATATATTTTTCTTGACAAATTTTATATGGATCAGAACTATTATTTTACATTAGAAACAAAAAATGTTTAAGAAAATTTCAGAACATCTTTGGGATATATTACTTATCATTATATCTTATCGGGCGGAATGAATAAATACAGGACTACTTTATGTCAGAAAGCACGACTGCAAAGTTTTAATGACTAACACATTTCCCGGTTAAGACAATTACTCTTTTCTTATATAACCAATTAAATGTTAAAAATTCTATCGGGAAAAAATGAATTGTACGTTTGCATACGTTATTTAATGAAATAGATATACAGTATTACATTAAAAGACCACAAAAGAATATCCTCCTAGCTATGCCGATTTTATTCATAAAGGGGAGTAACCCCTGATAAACACAGATAAAGTGTCGCTCGTTTTATTTAAAATATTTAAAATCTTAACACGACTGAACACGATCTTACAGCAACTAAACAGATTTTTTACCTTTGGTCTTATTTTATCTGAACGTGATCTAATCAAGTCTTATTTGAACGCTAGAAGAATCTGTCTTGTTTATCTTGACCCGACTGATCTGACTGAACACGATATATCGGAACAGAGTCTGAAAGTCTAAACCGGTCTTAACGTTTTTCCCTAGCAGTAAATCAAGGCGATTAAGACTTGATCAGACCAAAATGACCGTTTCAGACTTAAATCTTGCTACTAGTGATACCACTTATACTTTTGTCAAAATTCAAATTAACGACACAAAAACTGTATTTGTGATTTTACGTGTAATTCACAATATCCATCTTTCCCTGTTGTAGATTAAAAAAAAGAATAGATCGTAGATGTGGTTTTGGTGTCTTTCCAAAGGTTAAGCTTACCAATTTTCTTGCAGTTTTGCACATATTTCATGTAAAGGTGTCAATATAGTTGTTGTTAATGATTTTGCAAACTTTTGAATATGAAGTTGCGAAGTGTAAAAAAATATTCATAATTCCAAGAAGAGCACACAACTTTATGGCAAAAAAAATTAATATGTCGATAAAACAATTTAATAGAATTGCAGTCGTTAACCAAACTAAAAAAAAACGTTGCTTGTAATAGAATTTGATTGAAGGTTATTTGCGATTACAATGCATACTAAGTGTCTATCAAATCCGAAATTTAAATCTTGACATTATTTCACATTTTTTTAATTCAGGACTATTGATAGCTGACTAAACTGAATGAATTTTGGTTCGACAATCATCCGATGGGATAAGTGTTTTCTGCTAATTGTCGAACGTCGTGTCGTGATCTCGAGTTATAGGCATTTTTAATAGATATTTGTCAAATTAGCACATCCAATTATATCATCTATTCTTTCTTATAGAGGAATTTAGAAAGATTATTCCCTTTTGAGATTGATGTTTAACGGTGGATTGATAGTTCTTTTCGATGAATCACATTTTTCAAACAAGTTTCAACACGTAGACATATAATTATGAAGACATTGCATGAATGCCAATAAGATATTCATTCATATTCATATTATGTGATCAAAATCCGATTAAATTTCCGACACACAGTGTTTTTATTAGTCAAATATAAGTATGTAAATGAAAAGGAAAGTAGATAGGCAAATTGCAAATCATTGCTTTTAACCTAATAATTACTAAGTATATGTGTTACAAAGTTGCAAAAAATCAAAATGTACTACAGCATTACAAGTTTTAAACGGATCAATGCTCGTTATAAAGCATCAAGCAGCATGCCTTTGAATGTCAGAACAGAAAAATGACGCGTACATATATAAAATTTAAAAACGTATGGCAACGTATAACCTCATCGAATATAGAAGAGACAAAATCATTAACAACTGGTAAAGCAGCCGATAATGCGTTTAGCAATTGACTTATTTTTCCCATCTAAAGCATTTATGTACATTTATACATTTGTATATGTAGTAAAAAACAGATACCGAATAACTGACCACACAACATTTACACTGAGCTGACAATGCTGACATTGTTCCGGAATTAGAAATAAAGTTAGATATTATTTGTCAATGTGAATATATACCACTGGGTTTATACTGCAAACAGCAGGAATTACGTTCCCTTCCAGAAGACTATAAGTCATATCTATATCATAGTTTTTCTTATGGATGTGGCAATTATTTATTTTCTACATTATTATGTATTCCTTGTGTAACATTGAACAGAGTTTGGTATGAACAAGTAATACGATGGATATGTTAATTTAATAGCTCTTCTCCGCAATATGATACAGAATTTCCAAATTTCCATTGGCTATTCGTTAGGTCAATGATAACTTTCAAATATCAAAGACAGTGTAATACTTTTCATTAATTCGTTTGTGCACTGGTGGATTCTTTAACATGTTAGGACGTGATTTATTCATTAATTATAATTGCCTCACTGTCACTTCAGTAATATTGGAGTAGTTACGTGTCTTTTGTTTTTAATGTTAATGGTTTTTTAACCTTCAAATTCAACTGTTTTGCTATAACACCATGGTCTCAGATAAAAAGAAAGACTGAGCTCTCGCAGTATATTTTACCTCGCTACATTTTACACCAGTCTATAATTCGTGAGCGTGTACTTCAGTGGTTCTCGTTAGTAGATGTCTATCATGTTCTGTTTTATTGTTTGTTCATAAATCATGCCGTTAGTGTTTTCGTTTGATTTCTGTAATATAAGCTCATGTCGAGTTGTATTTTATCTGACATAGGTTTATATTTGGTCATTGTTCAAGGTCGCATTGTTGACTTATTGATGTTTATACACACATCATTTGGACTCTGGTTGATAGTTGTCATAACACATATCTTCTTATTTTCATATAATTCTCCTCCAAAGCAACAAATAAATAACATTTCTTTATTTACTTTAAATAACAACAATAAACCTTCTAAAGGCTCGTGTATTATTGAAATGAAATGTAATAACTCTGGCTGATAGAAAGCTTGATCGATCGTCCAATGTCCGCATCACTCTACGCAGCTATGAACAAAATTGCTATCACGGCTTTGTGGCGTGAAGTACGTTGACCCGGCCTGATTAATTTGACCCGAACATATCACCGACGCTATAAGGAATGCACAGAAGTAGTAAGTTTGCCCAGAACTAATCAAGTTACCTTCCGGTTTGCAGATGAAACAAAGAAAACACTTATTTTATCATGCAAAATCTACAAATACAAACCGATAATTCGGTTATCTGGTTGACTTCATATTGATATTGTAAAAATTTGCTGCTCACTCGACATAAAGGATCAAATTGTATCTCGCAGCTGATCTTTTATAATATCAATATGCAGACAACCTGATATTCAGTTCATTTTACATTTTTACCCATTATGAAACCTATAACCCTTTTTTATATTTTCTGTATATTTTTTTGTGAGCTATCATTTATTTCCTTTTTTTTCTGTTCTCTTGCCAACTATTTGTTGTTTTTCCTTGGGTAAGTTTTTGTATCATCCATTCGTATTTCATGCTTTTTTTATTCTTTCGAACCAGACAAAATGAAGTTACATGGGCTTGATCACATAAGTTACATTTAAATACATTGAAACTAAACACACATAGTGTGTAGCAAGTTTTTAATTGGAAAATTGTTAACACTATCATAATTCAGGTAAAATCAGATTTATCTTAAAAGGAGCCAGATCCGGTACTTTAACCGGTCTATACAAATATGTTTACAATAAAAACTAATTGAATTATTGATATCAAATTTAAGAAAAGCATAATGTTCCATATATCGTGTGATGTCAGGTCAGTTGCCATACTCTTTTAAAACAAAACGTTGTCCTTATTAATCAGTTCTTGATAAGTCTGCACGTACTGAAATAACCATCATATCCGCTGGCTGTGCCATGTCTACAACACATTTTTTTTCATAAATTATCTCGTTCATTTTATTTAATATAGTATCCCATAACATAACCAAATTTAGATAAATTAAAAACACGAAAAGGATGTGCCTACAAAATAGTAATTGTACGCCTGATATCTTTGGTGTGTTTTATCACCAGCCCAATAGTCAGGAATTTGGAGTTGACAACTTATCATTGAAATGTTCATTTTCTGTAAATTATCTGTTTATAAAGTGTAACATAATTCGAATAACAGAAATGTATTAAGGTTTTCAATCCCCCGATGGCCTTTGTCGTATTTAGAAACTCTTTTTCGTTGTTTTTTTGGTTTTAAATGCAATTCAACTTTGCGTTTGACTTTGCCTTCAAATTATTCTCATTCGGGTGCAACTGTAGAGTCTTGTGTAGACGAACCGCGCGTCTTGAGTAAAAACATGTACGCCATGTATCTTTGATGAGTTTTCACACTGATTAAAAACCATTAAATAGCAAAAATCATTTCACGAATACTTTGTAAATTAAGACATTTCTAGTTAGTGCGTTAACAAAAAAAAAACAGTAAAAGAAGGCGTTTATTTGTAAGCCCTTCCAGAAATTTGTTGCTGCTGGACGAAAAACAACCAATTATCAAGCGATCAATCCCCTAGTTGGTCCAGTATCTTCCTGTTCATATATCAGTAAGATAAAGGATAAATATTATATTTCCTATACCATATCAGTTCGGGTTCTCAACTATCCGAAGATAGGTTACTGCAACCTTTATAATCTTCCTAAATTGACAATAATCGGGAAAATCATAAATATTAACGTATACTAAGTGCACAACCTTCGCAAACAATGTATCAATGTGGAGATGACTCCCTTTGTACTTTCTACATGTCCAGTTTCTATCTGTGAAGTGCTTTGTATAAAGGAACATAGGAATCGAGCAAATGCATTCATATGGACAGCATCTTTCTTTTATCAAGGACGTACATCCATCCTTGATCATGAGCACATACTCCGTAGTTCTGATTTACATAGAATTTTCGCTGAATATCTCTGAAAAAATGTATTTATTGGAAATTTTAAACGGAATTGATGGACTAACACGAAAAAGCAATTACATGAAATACTGTATAAAAGCAGACAACGTATCAAGCATCCTGATAATGTCTTTTAAACATGAAAAAAATATGTGTATCATTTGACCTTTCCTAATGCATGATATATGTATCTTCGTTTGTTTTTGTAGTTACTATTCTTCAACTTTAGAATGTGGTTTGAGGCAGAAACTTGTTTTTATGTCTATTAGACTGAAATACCAGAAAACGACTTTCAAGACTAGCAATAAAGGTAGGTTTTATATTTTGAGACGGTCTCACTTTCTCAAGAGTAGATTTTTTATAGAATATTGCAAAAAACTAAAATTTTAGCTTAAAATGTTATAATTTTATCAATTTTCAAAAACTTACCAAATTTTTCTTTTTTCATTTATATATATTTCGTCTTTTTGAACATTCATGCAAAAGAACAAAAGCTCTGGCAAAAATATCTCTGCACTTGTTTAAATATATTTCAAGGACAAGAGATAATCCCAAATGATCAATCATTTTTATTCTGCTGTACAATCTTCATCAGTCCTGAAGCAATAAAAAGAATCATAAGATAAAAGTTTAGCTTGAATCAATAAGTAACTTAAAGGAGAGCTAAAATTTTAGCTGGTTCCTTTTCAGACCAAAAGCTAAAATTTTAGTTTCCATAAATTAAGATAAAATTTTAGCTTCCATAATGATAAAATTTTAGCTTTGCAGAAAAAATGATAATTTTTTGCATTATTGACTTAACATAATATTGCAAACAAAGATACAATTTTAGCATAAAATTATAGGTATTATAACATCGATGATGGCATTACCTCTGTTAACCTTAAGATTAATTGATTGTTGGTTGCTTTATGTTCAGTGGCAAATAGTTCATGCATTTTGAAGACAAGAACAAATTAACAGACAAAAGGTAGGTCCTGTAATAGGACTCAAAAGGGATGAAATTTGAACTATCACTGGCTGGTAAATTGGACAGGACATAGAGTAAGAAATTTGACCTTTCAAACCCCACCTGTGCACAGCTCATCAAGTAATAAATGCTGAACAATTCCTCATGGTTATTTGCATAAACAAACAAGTGACTAAATGAGTTACTAGACATCAGGTCATATTCATGTAATGACTCACTGACATTAATTCTGAACAATTCCTCATGATTTGATTGGTATGAACAAACAAGTGGCTATATCAGTAACGGGACATAAGATCATACACTCACATACAGACATTAACAGTAATAAATGCTAAACAATTCCTAATGGTTATTGGTATACACAACCAAGTGGCTATATGAAAAACTGAAGAAAGGTCATATACTGACTTGCAAACATTAACAGTCATCAATCTTTCACAATTCATCATGGTTATTGGTATAAACAACCAAATGGCTATATAAGAAACTGAAGAAAGATCATATACTGACTAACAGACATTGACAGTAATAAATGTTGAACAATTCATCATGGTTATTGGTATAAACAAACAACTGGCTATATGAATAACTGGACATAAGGTCATACACTGATTTACAGACATTAACAGTATTGAATCCTTAACAATTCTTCATGGTTATTGGTAAAAACAAACAATTGGCTTTATAAGTAACTGGACCTAAGGTCATACACTGACTCACAGACATTAACAGTAATAAATGCTGAACAATTCCTCATGGTTTTTGGTATAAACAAACAAGTTGCTATATGAGTAACTGGACATCAGGTCGTAGATTGACTCATAGACATATACAGTAATAAATGTGAAACAATTCCACATGGTTATTGGTATAAACAAACAAGTGGCTATATGAGAATATTGACATAAGGTCATACACTGACTCATAGACATTCACAGTATAAATACTGAACAATTTCTCATGGTTATTGGTAAAAACAAACAAGTGGCTCTATGAGTAACTGGACATAAGGTCATACACTGACTCACAGACATTAACAGTATAAATGCTGAACAATTCCACATGGTTATTGGTATAAACAAACAAGTGGCTATATGGGTAACTGGACATCAGGTCATACACTGACTCACAGACATTAACAGTAATAAATGTGGAACAATTCCACATGGTTATTAATAAAAACAAACAAGTAACTGAACATAAAGTCATATACTGACTCATAGAGATTAACAGTAATAAATGCTGAACAATTCCTCATGGTTAGTGTTATAAACAAACAAGTGGCTATATGAGTAACTGGACATCAGGTCATACACTGACTCACAGACGTTAACAGTAATAAATGCTAAACAATTCCTCATGGTTATTATTATAAACAACCAAGTGGCTATATGAGAAACTTAAGAAAGGTCATATACTGACTTGCAGACATTAACAGTAATAAATGCTGAACAATTCCTCATGGTTATTGGTATAAACAAACAAGTGGCTATATGATTAACTGGACATGAGGTCATACACTGACTTACAGACATTATCAGTTATCAATCCTTAACAACTCTTCATGGTTATTGGTAAAAACAAACAAGTGGCTCTATGAGTAACTGGTCATAAGGTCATACACTGACTCACAGACATTAACAGTATAAATGCTGAACAATTCCCCATGGTTTTTGGTATAAACAAACAAGTGGCTATATAAGTAACTGGACATAAGGTCATACACTGACTCACATACATTAACAGTAATAAATGTGGAACAATTCCACATGGTTATTAATAAAAACAAACAAGTAACTGGACATAAAGTCATATACTGACTCATAGAGATTAACAGTAATAAATGCTGAACAATTCCTCATGGTAATAGGTATTAACAAACAAGTGGCTATATGAGTAACTGGACATAAGGTCATACACTGACTCACAGACCTTAACAGTAATAAATGTGGAACATCTCCTCATGGTTATTGGTAAAAACAAACAAGTGGCTATATGAGTAACTGGACATAAGGTCATACACTGACTAACAGACATTAACAGTAATAAATGCTAAACAATTCCTCATGGTTATTGGTATAAACAACCGAATGGCTAAATGAGAAACTGAAGAAAGGTCATATACTGACTTGCAGACATTAACAGTTATCAATCCTTAACAATTCCTCATGGTTATTGGTATAAACAAACAAGTGGCTGTATGAGAATATGGACATACGGTCATACACTGACTCATAGACATTCACAGTATAAATACTGAACAATTCCTCATGGTTATTGGTAAAAACAAACAAGTGGCTATATGGGTAACTGGACATCAGGTCATACACTGACTCACAGACATTAACAGTAATAAATGTGGAACAATTCCACATGGTTATTAATAAAAACAAACAAGTAACTGGACATAAAGTCATATACTGACTCATAGAGATTAACAGTAATAAATGCTGAACAATTCTTCATGGTTATTGTTATAAACAAACAAATGGCTATATGAGTAACTGGACATCAGGTCATACATTGACTCACAGACATTAACAGTAATAAATGCTAAACAATTCCTCATGGTTATTATTATAAACAACCAAGTGGCTATATGAGAAACTTAAGAAAGGTCATATACTGACTTGCAGACATTAAAAGTAATAAATGCTGAACAATTCCTCATGGTTATTGGTATAAACAAACAAGTGGCTCTATGAGTAACTGGACATAAGGTCATACACTGACTCACCGACATTAACAGTATAAATGCTGAACAATTCCCCATGGTTTTTGGTATAAACAAACAAGTGGCTATATAAGTAACTGGACATAAGGTCATACACTGACTCACAGACATTAACAGTAATAAATGCTGAACAATTCCTTATGGTTATTGGTATAAACAAGCATGTGGCTATATGGGTAACTGGACATCAGGTCATACACTGACTCACAGACATTAACAGTAATAAATGTGGAACAACTCCACATGGTTATTAATAAAAACAAACAAGTAACTGGACATAAAGTCATATACTGACTCATAGAGATTAACAGTAATAAATGCTGAACAATTCCTCAGGGTTATTGGTATTAACAAACAAGTGGCTATATGAGTAACTGGACATAAGGTCATACACTGACTCACAGACCTTAACAGTAATAAATGTGGAACATCTCCTCATGGTTATTGGTAAAAACAAACAAGTGGCTATATGAGTAACTGGACATAAGGTCATACACTGACGAACAGACATTAACAGTAATAAATGCTAAACAATTCCTCATGGTTATTGGTATAAACAACCGAATGGCTAAATGAGAAACTGAAGAAAGGTCATATACTGACTTGCAGACATTAACAGATATCAATCCTTAACAATTCCTCATGGTTATTGGTATAAACAAACAAGTGGCTGTATGAGAATATGGACATAAGGTCATACACTGACTCATAGACCTAAACAGTATGAATGCTGAACAATTTCGCATGGTTATTGGTATAAATAAACAAACAAGTGGATATATGAGTAACTGGACACATATGCAATTCGAGATAACAAATAAGTGGAATAAGTAATCACAGGTTGGGTTTTTTTTTGTGATTCGTAATTAAGCACAACATTCGCCATTACAATTATTTTTGTTAGTCGTGATAACGGATTAGAATCGTTATCACGGATTAAACTTGAATTTCTTGAAAAATTATCACAGGTTTTTATAATGTATGACGACAGATTAAATTTGTTATCACGGATTTGTATAAGTCGTGATAGCGGTATTATAAATTCGTTTCTCAGTTTAAGTTTTCAAAGTCAAATGCTGGGAATGTAAAGCCTAGCGCTGTAGATAAAAAGTAATGCGCTGGAGATATAAAGTCCGGCGCTGTAGATCTAAAGTCGAGTGCTGGAGATTTAAAATCCAGCGCTGGAGATGTAAAATCAAGCGTTGTAGATATAAAATCCTGCGCTGTCAATCTAAAGTCCATGCAGCGATGAAGCTGCAAATTAAATTTACATCTCAAGCGCAGGACTGTATATCCACAGCGCTGAACTTTAAAAACCACAAGTTTTTATCTGTATGAGACCATTAGGGCTCCGTAGGTGTCATGTAGCATTTCCGATGTCTTGAATCTTAACCAAATAATGGAAATTCAAACTATTAACGGTCGAACAAAATATGGATTACAAAGGAGAATTAGAGGGATTCACATTGAGGTTTAATCTTGAGTGGAGTAGTTGCCAAATTTTATTCAATGTTTATCTGCCTTCAAACCCAGAATAGGACGTGCAGTTTCAGAGGAGTTAAATGTCTATAAGAAGGAAACATTTTTCAAACATATTGTGAAGGTATTCGTCCATTCCCAGAACAAGAAAAAGATCGGTTTATTGTTTTGTTGTTTATTGCGTAATGTCCAGGGACAAATATTTGAGGCATGCTAAATTCATGGAGAAAGACCTTTGTAAAATAGAGGAAATTACTGAACATCCAGTGACATTTATTTTTGGATATCTTCTCAAAATGCCAGTATCTCCTTTAAAAACACTTGGGTGGGGTCGCTATATGACATGATCTCCCTGCATATTTATCAAACTGTCTCCTGATTAATAACTGGTTTAGTTTTAGAAATAATTCTTTCATGTCTATGATAATTTTATTTTAAGATAGAAATCCAGGCCTTGCAGTCATAAAAATTTTGAGCGCGTTGATCGTACTCAGACTCAGATATGAACCTATCAAAATTAAAATAATAAAGAAACCTAACTTCAAGGAAAATTCAAAACGTCCCTTATCAAATGGCAAAACCAAAAACTCAAACACATCAAACGAATGGAAAACAACTGTCATATTCCTGACTTGTTACAGGCATTTCCTTGTGTCAAAATTGGTGGGTTAAACCTGGTTTTATAGCTAGACAAACCTCTTTTTCTCATAAAATTCCATTATATTGACAACAATGTGTGAACAAAATCAAAATATTGTGTTTTTGTTGCTTCGAGCACACTTTTGTACTCCCGAGTACTGAGTAGAGTTTTATGACCGAAAGCCAAGGAATGTACTAATTAAGTTTTGTTTTCACCTTTTCATCTATAATTCACGTGAGCTTATCAAACATGTTATCATACATGTACATTCATGTGCACGAAATATATCATTTCCATTATCTTCTTTTTTTTTTAATAGTTCTGACATTTGAGTAAATTTATTTATATTACTTTTTAAATGAAACTAATTTATTATGTAAACCCTTTTTTATACTTAAACGAATATCAAAATCAGACATGGATCCAGTGGTTAGCAAGTAGAATTGTTTTTAATATATACATGATGATCTATTATCTTACATCTAAAAACATGTACATGGAAGTTTTATTTGTTAAACCAATTTGCCTAATGAATTGCTTCCTTAGTTGCACATTTCCGTTTCATAGTATACATTATTGTCAAGTATAATATTCTAATCACATTGGCAATCGACCTTAAATTTCGTTTTTAAAGGTTTAAGCGTTCCGTGTGATGGAATACAGTAAATCGGTACGAATGCACACAACTTATTAAAAAAGTGTTGATATTTGAAAAAAATCTAAAGAAGTTTTCATATATCAATTGCCTTTTTCCTGCCCTTATCCAGCATACCAAAATTTCTGTAGATATTCTAATTTCCGAAATCAATCGCTGTCCAACTACTTTTCATAAGCTGACTATTTGAAATTTAATTTGTTATCGTACTTTCATAGTTCTAAGTGTTATCATTTATCATAAAAAAAAAGTTCAGATTTAGCAATTTAACCAGAAAAAAGACAAAATAGTTCAGCAATTCATATGTTTATAATGCAGTAATAATGTATCAATTTGATGACAGAAAAATAGACTTCATTCCAAATCAATAACTACAAAACATCTTCTTAAAGCGTTACTGCATCCGGAAAAATTTGAGATGATGACACTTTTCCTGTTTTATCAAAACCTATTACTCTTTTTATAACAAGAGAAAATATAAAATATTCATTTATCACTTCTATGTACATCAGATGTAAACATCTCATATCTTCGGGGCTGACGCCCCTCATACATGAGAAGCTTTCATCTAATACTAGGACAAGTGACATTGCCATAACAATAATAAGTCAAAATGTCATAAGTAATACAACAAGTACATTAATACATGTACATGTAGGACGTGAACAAAATTCATATGTCTATTTATAATAAAGTGCAAAATAGCAATCAATAGAACATTGTAATATGCATATTTATGTAAATAATACGATCGAATAATAGAGGTAATAAATATATTATACATACGTGACTTCCTGATAGATTACGTGTTTTATTATCCGGTTATAATTTAGTTTACATAACTGTATGATAGTATATGTTTTCTGAAAACCAGTATTTAGGTCATTAAATCGATATTGTGCATAGTCTTTTGAAATGCTCGGTTTAGCCTTTTAACATGTTTCGTTAACCGATTTTACAGCATTGTTCAAGCTCGTTGTTTTATATGAAATGATTAGTTTATAATGTAATGAATTAAGTCAGATATGATATAATTTGCAGGTCATTAATTTTACACAAATACATATTCATATCATATGTGTACATTACCATGCATAAATTCATGCATTTGAAGGTGCCAATAAAGTTACACGTTTATTTCTTTGAAGGATATCTTACTATGCTCATAGGTGGAGATCGCGAAAATAGTAATGCACTTAGTCAATCAAAAAAGACGAAAAATGGTCACAAAAAAACCCCCAAAAAAAAACGAAATGAACCGGAGCTAGAATGTAAATTTGTTTTGTTCAAATATACACATAATTGCATTTGTCTATAGATTAAACATTGTTGATTTACTTCCCTCATTGCAATGATTGATGAATAGGAAAATGTGCATTATGTATAAAAGTATGTACACACCATAACTTGTCGTATCATGCTTTAACTGTAAGTATTAGATGTAAGTTTTTCCTATCTGAGGTGCGTTAGCCCCGAAGATATCAGACAATTATATCTGATTTACATAGAATTTTAACTAAATATTTTATCTTTTCTATTGTTCTAAAAAGTCTTAGAGCAATTAGTTTAGATAAAGCAGGAAAGGTGTAATTTTCTGAAAATTTCCAGATGCAGTAACACTTTCAGAAGATGTTTTGTAGTTATGGATTTGGAATGAAATCTTAAATGTGTCTATTTTTTGTCATCAAATTGATACCTTTATTACTGCTTTTGATTGGCTATATAATATTAAGAATGGAAATGGGTCAACACAGCAAGAAAATCTCGCACCCAGAGGCGGGCTTCAGCTGGCCCCTAAACAAACATGTGTACTAGTTCAGTGAGAATGGACGTCATACTAAACTCCAAAACATATAAATGAACTAAAATTAAAAATCATACAAGACTAACATAGGCCAGAGCCTCCTGACTTGGGACAGGCGCAAAAATGCGGCGGGGTTAAACATGTTTTGTGAGATCTCAACCCTCCCCCTATACCTCTAACCAAAGTAGAAAAAAACAAGCACACAGCAATACGCACAGTAAAACTCAGTTGAAGAGAAGTCCGAGTCCGATGTCAGAACAGATATCAAAAGAATCTAAGCAAAATGACAATGATACATAAATTAACAAAGGACTACTAGCAGTTATTGACATGCCAGCTCCAGACCTCAATTAGACTGATTGAAAGATTATGTCTTCATCATATTAAAATCAAGCACAGTCCCTCCCGTAAGGGGTTTAGTAGCATACCATCATAAAATATATGAGAAGAACATAACCCGTATCATGCCAACAACTGGTTTTAGAATAAATGTGTTTATTTCCGATGCGAAGACCCTATGAGTGAATAAATATTAATACCAAAATATGCCATCTTTAATGACCTGTCAACAGTATCGTAACTATATCCCTTATGAATAAGTCTGTTGAAAGGTTTGGTTAGCTTTTGAGGTGAATGCCGACATGTTTGTGCTTTCTAAAGAACATTACCATAAAAGATTGGATGTGAAATACCTGAACGTATAAGATGTCTTCATGTTGATTTATATTTACGAATGATGTCCTTGTACCGATGATAAAATTTAGTAAATGTTTTGACTAGTTTGTGATATCGAAAAACCTGGTGTAATCATTTTTCCGTAATACATAAATTTCTTTCGTTAAAAATCTAATACGTTGTTACATACACAAGCGAATCGAACAAGTTGAGATATATAAACACCATAAGATGGTGACAAGGGAACGTCACCATCTAAAAATTGATAATTAACAATAGAAAATGAAAAATCATCTCTTTTATCATAAATTTTGGTATTAAGTTTCCCGTTAAAGATATAGATATCAAAATCCAGGAAAGGGCAGTGTTCATTGTTAGTATTAGCGTTATTTAAAGTCAGTTCAGCAGGATCAATGCCTTAAGTGTACATACTTAAGTCGTCATTATTGAGAGTCAATATATCATCCAAATATCTAAAAGTGTTATTAATTTGTTGTATCAGATGTTGTTTCGATGGGTTTTTGTTGATTTTAGTCATAAATTGTAACTCATAACAATACAAAAACAGGTCCGCAATAAGTGGTGCCCAGTTAGTCCCCATTGGAATTCCGATAACTTGACGATATACGGAATCTCTATAGCGAACAAAAATGTTACCTAGTAAAAATTCAAGGGCAGTTATAGTATCAAAGCAGTCCAATCTACATAGTGCTTTTGTTTGTTGTTACTAAAAAATGACCTAAAAGAGTTTGAACATATATATTCGCATTCTGACTTTTTAAATGCCCATTTAATTAGGTTTGTGAATTGTTTCTTAATAAGAATATGAGGCAAAGTGGTATATAGGGTAGAAAAATCAAAACTTTGAACAGATTCAAAATCACAAATATAAGCATGTAATTTATTAGGTACTTCCAACAAATTTTTGACACCCCAAAAGTAATTTATTCTACTATTTTCAAAGGCATTATTTAAACAATTTATTACCAGGTTTTTGATTGTACCAAGTGTACTAGTAAGTAGAATAGACAGTTTAGTAGTGGAACAATGGCTTGAAGACGAAATAAATCTGTTTGTGCAGCTTCGGAAACCAGTACATAGTTGGAACTTTCATTGTATTTGATTCTGCTTGTAAAGAAGTAGCTAAAAGTTTATGTTTGTTACAGATGTCATTTTCCGAAAATGGAGTCAGTTGGAATGTTGGTGAATTCGTGATTTCCTTTTGCAGAACCTCAATGTAAAATTTACGTCAAACTATAATTATATCATTAGCAGCCTTATCAGCCGTGACAAAAACAAGTTCCTTTGCGAGTTCTTTTAGCTTATGTTTGATACGAGAAATAGGGTTATTATGGTTGTTGTTAGGAGTAAAATGTTCCTTAAAATCTTGTATACGTATATCAACTATATATGTTCATTACTGAATTAAAAAAGAATCCAAGGATTTCTTGTCAGTTTTTTCTCGTTTTATTCATTTTGAGCAGTAAGTATGGAGTGAGTCGTGAATGATGTCACGACATTCATGCAAATTAATAATTGACGGGGGACGATATTTAGGTCCTTTTCTGAAGAATAATTTCAACTCTCGGTCACGAACGATGTTAAGGCCTCTTGTTATAACATGGGAACTGGGGCCATAAAAGTATTCGGAATTACTGCAATTTCATGACGTAGGTGTATTGTCACTGATATTTACATCTTTACACGCTTGGCTATAGTTAAACACATATTTCCGGGTAGGTTTTTTGTAAACATAACAAATAAGAGGGATTTCAGTATTATCAAAATAGCCAGGAATGTGTATGAATTCCTGTACTATCTTTTTCTGGTTTGATTGCAAAAATCTGAGCTTTTTGCTGATAAATGATAACACTTTTATGCAAATAGGGTTAAATGTGCCTGTTCTAAGTCAGGAACCTCGTTAGTAATTTTCGTAAATAATTTCATGATGCTGTTTGATATTTGGTGAATTGGGGTGTTAATGGCGTATCGTTGATTGTTTGTCCTAAGGTTATTCTCTGCTGTACATGTAGTAAAGACAGACACAGTGTCTGCAGGAAGAATGCCACCCAAGGCAATGTAAGCTTCAAATAATTCCGACTGCAGATATAGGCATGATGTACACCTTTGCGAAGATAATTTGATGTAGATTTACAACATAACAAGTTTTAGTGGGACGGAAAACCGCAAAATCGAAATATAACGGAAGTTCACGACCGAATGTCATTTCTCAAATACATTAATTGTGAGTTGGGTAACCTTGTGTTATATTAAGGCATGCAGTTGAAGCCCGCCTCCGGATGCGGGATTTTCTCCCTGTGTTGAAGATCCATTTGTGGCCATGGTCTGTTTTCTGCTCTTTGGTCGGATTGTTGTCTCTTTGAAACATTCCCCGTTTTCATTCTCAAATTTAGATATTTAATTTAGAGACAAGTGTCTGTGTCACTATATATCGGCACAACAGTATTTGATGTAAAGCATGCGGTTTTTTTAATCATCATATACAGGGTTGAAAGAAAACAAAAATCAAATACACTAAAACTTTAAATTTTGGCAAACACAAAATATATATTATTAAGTGTAAAACCATTCAAACGGGAAAACCAACGGTCTAATCTATATAAAAAACGAGAAACACTTATGAACCACATCAACATACGACAACTACTGAACATCAGATTCCTACTCGAACAATAAAAACGAATTATCGCAGTACATGGTGTTCGCTACTCTGTTTCAAAATAACAAGCTTTTTAAAGTATAGTTATAAATTGATAGTATATAAAAAAGAAAATTTAAAAAAGCAGGAAAAAATGAAAGGTCCGTCTCATTGTTTTTGAGATATTTAAGCCATTGAAAATTTGGCGGGAAAAGAAACTCTCTATAGTTTTCCTACATTTAACATTGGTACATTTTTTGTTTCAAAAACTTTGAAAAATAACAAGAATTTTATAAGATTTTGAAAAATAGCTTTTTAAACGATATGTAATAAAATTATGAAAAGAAAAGTAGGTGTAAGCAAAATTTGTATTGGCTTATTGTGGATGAAACTAGAGGATTTCGAATATCTGGCAAAAAGTCAAAAATGAGAGAGGCAAACATCCTTAAACTGCTGATCAGAAATCATGCCGTCCTACAACAAACAAATATATATAGCAACTTTATCATTGTTATAAACTATATAGGAAACATGAACATGAACACGAGTTATGTGTCTGTAGATATAAAAATATACAGATGTACACCTAGGATTTTAACTTTTCCTGATATGGATCTATGATTATCAGATTAGGCATCATTATTTATGTACGCTATTTGTTTACAAATATTCAGGTCATTTTACTAGCTGATTAGTTTAATGATATGTTACGTTTTCTGAAAATGATATTTTTTAAATCGTATGTCGATGTATATATATAAAGCATTGTTCAACATGTTCAAGGTATATGAAAACACAATATTTTGCGTGCTGGACTTTGTACGGGTACACATGATAC